AAATATAAACATATATACGTATATACATATATGAATTTCCCCCTGCGGGATAGGGGTTAGAATATTCCCGCGGTAAGGTATGCCTGTCGTAAGAGGCGACTAAAATCCAGCCAGGCGTCGGAGGGTGTGGCTGAAAAGGTCACAAAATCCCTGAGAAGCCCCTGAGCTGAGCCGAGTAGACGCCGGCTCTAAATAAGCGTCCACCATCCCGGGATGGCAACGAGGGACATCCAAGTGCGCAGAGAGTGACTAAACAGCTGTGCACCATCGAGGGATGCAGGGGAGTGCAACTGTTCCGAGAGCGAGCATCGGCACCCGGTCGGATGGAGGTATCTTAATCGTGGGCACTCCACACGGAAAAACTAACTAGGCACGTAAGCAGAAAATATGCACACAGAAACAGACAAATGGCATATCAAATAGACGGTGATTATGAATTCAGGGTTTTAAACACCCATCAGGATTGAGCCCAGTAAGATCCTGATTATGGCATACTGGAACAAACTACTTAAACGATGATTTTTGGGCTGGCGGATGTGGTATTCTGTTACCTGAGTATATGAGAGTGAAATCTCATAGAAATGGCTTCCAGGTTAATGCCACATCTTCCTTCGTCCTTTTAAAACTTGGCAAGTCTCCAAGTACGTTCGATGTCTCGTCACCATTAAGTTGGTGGTATAGGCTCAGTTGAGAGTACTCCTGACTTGCGCCAGATCCTGGCTCTGAACACAACCTCCCATAAGGAATTGTGTCAACCCTCGCATGGCCTCCCTGCTTTGCATAGATAACCATGGGGATCGTTACGAGCGACTATACAATCGAACATCGATAGCGGCTAGGAGTTTGGACCCTATCGATATGAATAAAGAAAACAAAAACACACCACAGATGTTACCAAAAGTGCCACTGCAGGATGGCCAAAGGAAGTCCGCAATGGACGAGGGCACGCCAAAGGGGCCACCACAAAAGAATGTACTCATTTCAGTGGGAAATGATATTAACACACCACAGATGTTACCGAAAGTGCCACTGCAGGATGACCAAAGGAAGTCCGCAATGGACGAGGGCACGCCAAAGGTGCCACCACAAACAAATGTACTCATTTCACCGGGAAATGATATTACCCAGAGAATGAAGAGTGAAGAGGCGATGACATTTGAAAAATGCATAGTCGCCTTAAACAAAATAAAGCAAGCCGTAAATCGGCAAAGAAATGTCTCGACGGACATTAAAGAGGGGGTACATGAACTGGCGACGCAGTTCGATACGATGGCTTACTACCACCGTCGTTGGCTTAAGGCAGAAGTTAAAAAAAAAGGCACGAAGGGATACCAATGCGGTAGACACACAAACCGTGCAGCGACAAAAACGTACAGCTACAAGCCCAGTGGCGGAAACACCAGAGAAAAAGCAGAAAACGAAAGAATCTGAAGCCCCCACAGAAGGCGCTGAAGGAAAAAACGAAGAAAAATGGGTAAAGGTAACAGGCAAAAAACAAAAAACGTCAAAAAAGCCTGAAGCACCTCCAAAGAAAGCGGCAAAACGAAAAGAGAAGCCCAGGATCCGTGAGAAACCGGAAGCTGTCCTCATCAAACCAAACGAAGGACACACATACGCGGATATTCTTAAGGACCTCCGAACGAAGATAAAGCCAGATGATGAAGAGGTGGCCATCCGGTCCATACGTAAAACTAAGAGTGGGGCTGTACTTTTAGAACTAGGAAAAGGTGGTAAAAAAACGACTTTTATGCCGAATTAAAAGGAACAATGGGAGAGGTGGCAAAGATAACTGAATTGAAACCCCGTGCAAAAATAGAAAAACGCGACTTGGATAGCCTTACAACAGATGATGAGGTAAGAGCGGCAGTAAGAATTGCACTTTCTGGTGCAAATACCAGAGAACAACGGAGAGCCTATGTATGCATATCAAGCCAAGCTGCTAAAACACTACAAAAGACGGAACGTATTCGTGTGGGCTTAGTAAGATGCAGAATTAAACTCTTACAAGATGTAAAACGCTGTTACAGATGCTTCGAAACAGGACATCTTCAATACGATTGCAAAGGACCTGACAGGAAAGGTCAAGGCCTATGCATTCGATGCGGAGAAACCGGACACAAGCTGAAAGAGTGCACAAGGCCGCCAAAATGCTGCATTTGCGCAAGTAAAGGATACATCAAGGTGGACCACATACCGGGTTCCCATAAATGTGAAACTAGCAAAAGGATATGAGAATACTCCAAGCAAATATGCATAGGAGCAAGACGGCTGACGCTCTGCTCTCTCAATTAGTTCTAGAACGAAAAATCGACGTCGTCATCATAAGCGAGCAATACAAGAAAAGTAGTAGCACAGGATGGTATGAGGACCACACTGGAACCGCAGCTATTTGGACGCCATCAAAAGGAACACTTAACGCTGTGAATAATGGAAGCGGGGAAGGTTATGTATGGGTGAGGACAAATGATTACACTGTTATAAGCTGCTATCTAACACCCAATGACACTATTGGTGAATTTGAAAACAAACTCCATAATATAGAAGATAAGGCTAGAGAAATCGGAGGCTCCCTAATTATTGCAGGGGACTTCAACTCTAAAGCAATCGAATGGGGTTCCACGACGACAAACTCACGCGGTCGACGAGTACTTGACATGGTATCTAGATTGGGGCTTACAGTAGCAAACTTAAGTTTCGCTACAACATTCAGAAGACCCGGATGCGAAGCCACAACTCCAGATATAACACTTGTGTCGGATATGTTTTCAGGAGCACTCAGAGACTGGAAAGTGCTGGAGGATTATACCGGCAGCGATCACCAATATATTGAATTCAAGATTACACTGCGGGATAGCGCTGCAACAGACTACCAACCTAGCGGTACGCGGAAATGGAGGGTGGACTGTTTAGATGTACCATCTCTACTTGCTGCTATAAACAGCAGGGTTGCAGATAGAGATCCCTTACTAAACTCGACTACACTAACAGTATACACCATGAATAGCATTCTACAAGCTTGTAATGTTTCCATGCCAAAAGTGGGAAGATCAACCCGAAAGAAAGCCGCATACTGGTGGACCGAGCAAATCGCGGAAATGAGGACCATCTGTTTGAGGTGCAGGCGAAAGCTGACCAGAGCCCGGAGAAGAAGTACTGCTGAAATAGAGGAGGTGGAGTTTAAAATAGCTAAGAAAAATTTGAAAGAAGCCATAAAACAAAGCAAAAAGGCGAAGTGGGAAGAACTAAGAGAAGATATAAACAACAATCCATGGGGCACCGGATACAAGATTGTAACTAAAAAGCTGGGTGCCAGACAACCCACCCCAGCACTAGGAAGCGAAATGCCGCCAATATTTACTCAACAAGAGCTTTTTGCAGCTGCTAGCGCGCTAAAAAATAATAAAGCTCCGGGGCCAGATGGAATACCGGCTGAGATACTAAAAGTGATTGCAAATGAACGACCACATGTACTACTAAAAATGTACAATGCTTGTTTAATGGAAGGCAACTTTCCGGAAATTTGGAAGAAACAGAAACTAACTATAATTAGAACGGTAAAGGCGCCCAGAACGTACTAAGCAAACCGACACTCTGCATCTTCCAAATTTCCGGAAAGTTGCCTTCCATTAAACAAGCATTGTACATTTCTAGTAGTACATGTGGTCGTTCATTTGCGATCACTTTTAGTATCTCAGCCGGTATTCCATCTGGCCCCGGAGCTTTATTATTTTTTAGCGCGCTAGCAGCTGCAAAAAGCTCTTGTAGAGTAAATAGTGGCGGCATTTCTCTCAGGAGATCATCTGATCTACTTGGGAGCACCTCATGTGTCGGGAATAATGTGTCAACTATTTCCTTCATTTTTTCGCTTCCTAGTGATGGGGTGGGTTGTCTGGCACCCAGCTTTTTAGTTACAATCTTGTATCCGGTGCCCCATGGATTGTTGTTTATATCTTCTCTTAGTTCTTCCCACTTCGCCTTTTTGCTTTGTTTTATGGCTTCTTTCAAATTTTTCTTAGCTATTTTAAACTCCACCTCCTCTATTTCAGCAGTACTTCTTCCCCGGGCTCTGGTCAGCTTTCGCCTGCACCTCAAACAGATGGTCCTCATTTCCGCGATTTGCTCGGTCCACCAGTATGCGGCTCTCTTTCGGGTTGATCTTCCCACTTTTGGCATGGAAACATTACAAGCTTATAGAATGCTATTCATGGTGTAAACTGTTAGTGTGGTCGAGTTTAGTAAGGGATCTCTATCTGCAACCCTGCTGTCTATAGCAGCAAGTAGAGATGGTACATCTAAACAGTCCACCTTCCATTTCCGCGTACCGCTAGGTTGGTAGTCTGTTGCAGCGCTATCCCGCAGTGTAATCTTGAATTCAATATATTGGTGATCGCTGCCGGTATAATCCTCCAGCACTTTCCAGTCTCTGAGTGCCCCTGAAAACATATCCGACACAAGTGTTATATCTGGAGTTGTGGCTTCACATCCGGGTCTTCTGAATGTTGTAGCGAAACTTAAGTTTGCTACTATAAGCCCCAATCTAGACACCATGTCAAGTACTCGTCGACCGCGTGAGTTTGTCGTCGTGGAACCCCATTCGATTGCTTTAGAGTTGAAGTCCCCTGCAATAATTAGGGAGCCTCCGATTTCTCTAGCCTTATCTTCTATATTATGGAGTTTGTTTTCAAATTCACCAATAGTGTCATTGGGTGTTAGATAGCAGCTAATAACAGTGTAGTCATTTGTCCTCACCCATACAAAACCTTCCCCGCTTCCATTATTCACAGCGTTAAGTGTTCCTTTTGATGGCGTCCAGATAGCTGCGGTTCCAGTGTGGTCCTCATACCATCCTGTGCTACTACTTTTCTTGTATTGCTCGCTTATGATGACGACGTCGATTTTTCGTTCTAGAACTAATTGGGAGAGCAGAGCGTCAGCCGTCTTGCTCCTATGCATATTTGCTTGGAGTATTCTCATATCCTTTTGCTAGCTTCACATTTATGGGAACCCGGTATGTGGTCCACCTTGATGCATCCTTTACTTGCGCAAATGCAGCATTTTGGCGGCCTTGTGCACTCTTTCAGCTTGTGTCCGCTTTCTCCACATCGAATGCATAGGCCTTGACCTTTTCTGTCAGGTCCTTTGCAATTGTATTGAAGATGTCCTGTTTCAAAGCATCTGTAACAGCGTTTTACATCTTGTAAGAGTTTAATTCTGCATCTTACTAAGCCCACACGAATACGTTCCGTCTTTTGTAGTGTTTTAGCTGCTTGGCTTGATATGCATACATAGGCTCTCCGTTGTTCTCTGGTATTTGCACCAGAAATTTTTACATCCATTTGCTCCGTGGGTTCTTGGAGTGCAATTCTTACTGCCGCTCTTACCTCATCATCCGTTGTAAGGCTATCCAAGTCGCGGATTTCTATTTTTGCACGGGGTTTCAATTCAGTTACTTTTGCTACATCTCCCATTGTTCCTTTTAATTCGGCATAAAAGTCGTTTTTTTTACCACCTTTTCCTAGTTCTAAAAGTACAGCCCCACTCTTAGTTTTACGTATGGACCGGATGGCCACCTCTTCATCATCTGGCTTTATCTTCGTTCGGAGGTCCTTAAGGATATCCGCGTATGTGTGTCCTTCGTTTGGTTTGATGAGGACAGCTTCGGGTTTCTCACGGATCCTGGGCTTCTCTTTTCGTTTTGCCGCTTTCTTTGGAGGTGCTTCAGGCTTTTTTGACGTTTTTTGTTTTTTGGCTGTTACCTTTACCCATTTTTCTTCGTTTTTTCCTTCAGCGCCTTCGGTGGGGGCTTCAGATTCTTTCATTTTCAGCTTTTTCTCTGGTGTTTCCGCCACTGGGCTTGTAGCTGTACGTTTTTGTCGCTGCACGGTTTGTGTGTCTACCGCATTGGTATCCCTTCGTGCCTTTTTTTTGCTTCTGCCTTAAGCCAACGACGGTGGTAGTAAGCCATCGTATCGAACTGCGTCGCCAGTTCGTGTACCCCCTCTTTAATGTCCGTCGAGACATTTCTTTGCCGATTTACGGCTTGCTTTATTTTGTTTAAGGCGACTATGCATTTTTCAAATGTCATCGCCTCTTCACTCTTCATTCTCTGGGTAATATCATTTCCCGGTGAAATGAGTACATTTGTTTGTGGTGGCACCTTTGGCGTGCCCTCGTCCATTGCGGACTTCCTTTGGCCATCCTGCAGTGGCACTTTCGGTAACATCTGTGGTGTGTTAATATCATTTCCCACTGAAATGAGTACATTCTTTTGTGGTGGCACCTTTGGCGTGCCCTCGTCCATTGCGGACTTCCTTTGGCCATCCTGCAGTGGAACTTTCGGTAACATCTGTGGTGTGTTTTTGTTTTCTTTATTCATATCGATAGGGTCCAAACTCCTAGCCGCTATCGATGTTCGATTGTATAGTCGCTCGTAACGATCCCCATGGTTATCTATGCAAAGCAGGGAGGCCATGCGAGGGTTGACACAATTCCTTATGGGAGATTGTGTTCAGAGCCAGGATCTGGCGCAAGTCAGGAGTACTCTCAACTGAGCCTATACCACCAACTTAATGGTGACGAGACATCGAACGTACTTGGAGACTTGCCAAGTTTTAAAAGGACGGAGGAAGATGTGGCATTAACCTGGAAGCCATTTCTATGAAATTTCACTCTCATATACTCAGGTAACAGAATACCACATCCGCCAGCCCAAAAATCATCGTTTAAGTAGTTTGTTCCAGTATGCCATAATCAGGATCTTACTGGGCTCAATCCTGATGGGTGTTTAAAACCCTGAATTCATAATCACGTCTATTTGATATGCATTGTCTGTTTCGGTGTGCATATTTTCTGCTTACGTGCCTAGTATAGTTTTCGTTGGGCACGAAAGAACTCCATCGATGGTACAGATGCTCGCTCTCGGAACAGTGCACTCCCCTGTATCCCTCGATGATGCGCAGCTGTTGAACCACTCTCTGCGCACTTGGATGTCCCTCGTTGCCATCCCGGGATGGTGGACGCTTACTTAGAGCCGGCGTCTACTCGGCTCAGCTCAGGAGCTTCTCAGGGTTTTTGTGACCTTTTACGTCACACCCTCCGACGCCTGGCTGGATTTTAGTCGCCTCGTACGACAGGCATGCCTTACCGCGGGAATATTCTAACCCCTATCCCGCAGGGGGAAATATAATATAATATAATATAATATAATATAATATAATATAATATAATATAAT